GCTGGTGCACCTCTGGTTCTCAAGCCTAAGCACTCGTGCCTGGGTCCCCATGGGGCGTGGAGCACATCTAACCCTGATCAGAGGGGCCCAAGTCTGCCCTACTTCCTGGGCTGGATCAGATCCCTGCTGCAGGGCTTGCCTTCCAGGGCTGAGCTGTGCCCTGGTGAAGGAAGGGCACAGTTCATTCTCCATGGAACTCACTAGAGCTTGGGGCCTGGCACACAAAAGATGCAGCAGGTGAGTCATCCATTCAACTGACACAGTGACACCACTTGGACTCCAGTTTTCATGGGGCTCCTGCTGCACCTGGGCCTTGCCTGGGTCCTCTCCACAGGGTGTGTGGTACCAGGCACTCTGGAGGTGCAGGGATGGCTGCAAACAGGCCAGGAGGAGCTCTCCTCTCTGGCCACACACTTACTGTCCCATCAGACATCCACAACCTCCACTTGGGCCTGATTTCCCTCCTCTGCCCCTGGCAGGAGAGCAGAAGCAAGCATGAGTCTCACTAACACTTGTGTAAGACCAAGGAGCAGGGGAGGGAGACTTCCAGGGAGGCGGGAGGCAATCAACTCTTTCATCAAAATAAATTTCCTAGCCTTCCCTGCTTCTTGCAAATAAATGGAATCTTCCTGGCTGCAAAAACTGGAGATTCTGTTCATGGACTTGGCATCTGCTGCAGGACACACCCTCCTGCACCCTGGAAGCACCCTGACTGCCTGATGCCCTCCAGACTTACCAGCCCTCGCAGGTGCAAGAGGAAGCTGGCCAGCCTGCCACCTGAACTGGGACACTTCCATCCTCGCTGAGAGCCTGCAGTTCTGCTGAGGAAGGAGGTGCTGCTAATTAAATATCTAAATGGTAGCATTAGCCAGGGTGGATCTCAGCAAACCAGATGTTTTTCTGGCCCAGATGGGATGATCTCCACACAGTCGGAACTGGAAAAAACAGGGCGTACACACTGTGGGAGAAGATGACGACAGAACCTAGGGCAGCTTCCTGACGGCATGGTGGATTTAAGTGGCAGCATCCTGGGGCAGGGAGAAGAGCGGCCACCAGGAGTCTGCGTCCCAAGCCCTAGGTCTGGGCTCTGCTGCAGGGTCTCAGACATTTCTCCTTCGCGGTTCTGGAAACTGAGAAGCTTGGGATAGTGGTGTCCGCGTGCTCAGGTCTGGGGAGGTTCCCTTCCTAGTTCACAGACAGTGCTTTCTTGCTGTAGCCTCACAAAGGTGGGGCAGGGAGGAGCTCTAACTAGCTGGGTGCCTTCCTCTGCTTCTGAGGATTATTGCACAGAGAGGGCTCACCCTCAAGACCTTCTCCAACGCGAATCTCCTCCCGAAGTTGCCTCCTCCAAACAGCACCCCCTCGGGCGTTAGCATTCAGTGTGTGAATTGGAAGTGGGGCCGTAGCATTACCTTCTGTGGCCAAGGGGACTGGGAAGAGATAATTAAGGATCCTAATCAGATGCCACTGAGAGAGAAGGTGATCCTGGATTATCTGTGTAATCGTGCAAGTCCTTTAGAGGCAGAAGATGAAGTCAGAATTCCGAGATTCGGAGCCAGGGAAGGGCCTGCTACCCCAATGCCGGCTTTGCTGCTAGAGAAGCCACCTGATCGAGGATGAGGCAACCACAAGGGGCTGAGGCCGTGTCCCTTGCTGACACCCAGCAAGGAAGCAGGGATCTCAGCCCCACAAACATGAAAAACCAAAGCCAAAGGCGAGCTCTGGGGTGATTCTTTCTCAAGTCCCAGCTGGGCCAAGTCCCTGAGGCCAGCATTAAAAAGTCCAGCTGAGCCCACTGGTCTTCTGCCCTGAAGACACCCAGACAGAGTGGATGCACAGGTGTTGTTTTAAGTGACTGCACTGGTAGTAACTTGCACAACCAGAGAAAACCAACACAGGGCTTTCCAGGGAGAGGGTAGAAAGAACACTTAGCTATGAGGTGCGGCAGTCATGGACACAAATCCCCAAGGCCCATCAAGTCAGGCCAGCTGAGGAAGCAGCAGCATGAACCCCTGACAGGTGGCCCCCAAAACACAGCCTCAGGATCAGGACGCTGAGTGTGGTCTAGATCGGTCCAGAGAGCCCACCCTACTCCCACCCAAGCTGGTGCCTGGCAAGAATGTGGGCACACACGGTCAAAAACCAAGCGGATCTAGAAATCCTGTTTCTATGTCCTCTCTCAGACCATACAGTCACTGTGCTGCCTGGCCTTGTGCAGACCAAATGTGGGGCCAATGTGTGCTCCGAGCCAGGTGTGGAGGACGGGAAGAGATGTCCTTGGAGTGGGGTGTGCAAATCCCAAGTGTGGATTGCTGGGGGGCAATAGGGAGCCAGCGAGAGTCCCTCCACCCAAGAGCTCCTATTTATGGAGCCCTCCTGGGACACAGCCACCCAGCAGGCCCTGGTCACTACCAGGCTTCTACAGCCATTTCCAGAGGAGGAAACAGGACAGGAAGCAGCTCAGTCACTGATGTGACAATGCAGATGTGGGTGGTAACCCTGGGCTCCAAACCACAGCTCTAGTTCTAAAACCTGAGCCCTCCCGGCACCCCTCACCTGCGGCACCCCAGCCTGCAGGCTTTGCCTCCTTTCATTGAACAGGGCCTGCTGCCAGTCACATTTCCTTAGGTTGAGCAAGTTGGTCAGCTCTGCCCTCAGCCCTGCCATTGGCCCCCCACCCCTCGGCCTCCCTCAGCCCCTCACAGCCTGGTTTGCTCGTAGCTTAGTCTCTCTTTTTCCAATTCCATCTTCCTAAAAAAGGAATCTGAGTGGTTGGGACCACTATTTTGTCCCAAGTCAGAATGGGTCAGGCACCAGCCCAAGCAGGACCCTAGGCAACACTTTTTGTTCTGTTTACACCCCACCTCTAAGTACCCTGCCTCAGGGCCCATCAAGAGGGGCTGTGGTGGCTGGAGATCTAAGCTGGGTACTTGGGAGCAGGGGCTCGGGTGAGCTATTGCCTCTAAAAGGAATGAGGGTACAATACCCTAAACAGCTGCTCTGCCCCCTGCGGGACACTCATAAATGCACCTTGAGCCAAGTAGCCCGGCCCTGCAGTGCAAAACACCCAAAGAGCAATCACAGTCAGAGGTGGCGGGGAGGCCTGGGACATCCGGGCCCAGCTGCCCAGTGAGGGGCATGGTGGGCACATCCCACAGATCATCAAATTCACGATGCCCATGAGGAGAGACACAGAAAGCATGCCAGGCTCCACTGCCAACCTGAGGGCTCAGTAGGCTTGGAACACAATCGCACCAAGCCCTTACTTTGACCAGACTAGAGGTTTTCAAGACAGCTTCACTCTCCCACACTGACACAAAATAAAGGGGATATGTATGTAGAAAATGCTTAGTTTGATGTTCTGACCTATGGACATACTTGTAAACTTCATCCCAATCAGGATAATGAATCTATCCATCACCCCAGTCTCCACATGGCCTTTCATAATAACCCCATGCCCCATCCTCCCCACCTCCTTGCCCCATTTCCTGGAAACCATTGGTCTTTTCTCCATCACTATTGTTTGCACTTTCTTGTATTTATAAATAGAATCATATAATATCTGTTTGGTTTTCTCTGACTTTTCATTCAGCATAATTTTGATTTTGTCCATTTTCTTGCAGGTATACTAATGCTTTATTTCTTTTTATTGCTAAATATTCCATGGTATGATGCACCACTGTCTGTTCAGCCATTCCCGTATGGATGGACATCATACCAGGTTTTATATTTGTGCATATAGCTGTCATCTGCCGTGTGAAAATATCTACGAGTGGAATGGCTGGATTATTTGGTAGATGCTTATGTTTTGGACGTTTCCCTCTAAAAGTTCATGTGTTGGAAACTTAATCCCCACAATATGTTAACAGTATTTGGAGGTGGGCTTTCAGGAAATAATCCGGGTTCAGTGAAGTCATGTGGGTGGGGCCCCCACCAGAGCATTAATGGCTTTAGAAGAAGACAGACCTGAGCTAGCATGATTTTCACTGTGTGACATCCTCTGCCATGTTAGGATACAGCAAGAAAACCTCATCAGAGCCCCCAGGGTCTTGGACTTCCCAGTCTCCAAAACCATGAGTCAAATAAACTCTTTATAAATAACTCAGTCTTGGGTATTCTGTTATAGTAACTGAAAATAGACTAAGACAGTAGGCAGATGTCTGAGCACAACAGTTTGGATGCAACTCTCCTGTGGGTTTCAGAGTGTCCATGCTGTTCTATTTAATTTTCTAGATAAAAAATTACTCTCCAATCATATGGGAACCAGCGACACACACACACTCACCCATTAGGATGGCTGGCTTCACCCCAGGCCTCCCACACAATGGGTGAAGAGAGATCCTGGAAGGGAAAATCCCTCCAGTTTTTGGAAAATGCTTCATACACAAGATCCCAGCAGCATCAACATTTTAGAAATCACTCAGAGAGGGCCCTATAATCTGTCTCCAGGAGAGCTTATAAATAGGAGTAGCCCCTCACTGTCCTCGAGGAGAAGAGCTGCGGCCAAGACTGAATGCTTTCCATGAAGCCAAGTAGCAGGGTGGTCCTGTCAATATCTCCTGGGAACATGGTAGCAACATGCGTTCTCCCCAGCCCAGCCCACACCTAATGAGTGGAGTCTGTGAGGTGGCCCCAGTCAGTCTGGACTTGAACTGATCTTCCAGGTGACTCTGGTGGCTCCCGGGGTTAAGAACCAATAGATCACTTTTCAACTTACCTAGAGCTGACTCCATAGGAAGTTATAATGTACCAGGGGCATCATCCTCGATTGGCCAGATTCCACCCTACAGCCCCCCCGCACCGACTTACCAGGTGGCATGCATATTTGCACAGTGGATCCCTCTCGCCACAAAGCATCAAACTTCAAAAACAGAATATTCTTAGGAACTCAATCACTGGAGCATTTAAATGCAACTATCAGAATCACCCACCCCACTACATGTGGCTTCCCTCTATTACTGTAAAGAATAAATGGAGTTAGGAAAAGAAAAAGACCAAGGTTTGAGGTGAGGCACTCCAGCGCACTTTACTGCTCCACCACTCTCTCTGCAAATGTATACAGCAGCAGGAAAATTTGTCACATTTGAGTAGGAGGAATTTGAGTAAAAAATATCAGGTTCTTTTTACTTTAATCTTCATTTTAAGCATGATTTCCATTCAACATTCTCATGGGAGAGAAGTTTTGCTCTTCTCTTTGGTGTTTTTGCATGCTTAAAATTTAGCCCAGTCTTTAAAAACCTTCTCCAGCTTCTGGCTGAGGAGAACTTTACCACTCACTTTGAACTTGCCCGCCAAGAAAGCCTTTTGTGGGTTCATTTTCCCCAAGACTAACTCCATGAAGACAGACTCGGGGATTGTAAAGACAGTGTCTGCCGGGAGCCCTGCAGGTCCTGGGTACATGTCCCCAGATCTGTTCTTCAGGTCAATGGTCCACTGCAGAATAGTCTGCCCATCTTTGGTGATGTCCAGCTGAAAGATGGCATTGACTTTCTTCACCAGCTGGGCCCCCGAATCTTTGATGTAATGGCTGATGCCCTCCAGCACGGGGAAGCTCTGCAATCCTGACACATCCTCCAGGGGTGGTGTGGCTGGGTCACTAGCCGGTCCCAGAGCCTTGAACTCGTCCACCTTAAATCCATCCCCAGCTTTGATCTTGGACAAGTGGTCCATCCTCTTCCACATCGTACTGTGCTGGTCCCCTTAACTTTGCTGTTCTGGTCTGCGAGCAGCTGTGGCCAGATTAACAGACACAGTCCGATTGTGACATCAGAGGCAAGGCCCAAGCAGAGACTGAAGCTGGTGAGTGTCCTGCAGTCTTATTGGCCAACAAATCCTGAAATATGACACGAGGTGAGGGGTCAGCCTGGTCACCACAAGACAGATACACACGACAAGCGCATACACACACACACACACACACACACATACCCGAAATCAACCGGGGCTATTGGCCCACAGGCCTAAGAGGTCTGTCTGCAGCCTCTAAAGCAGAAGAGGGAAATAGGCCCCAGCGAGTGTTTTGGTGGGCTCAACGTGTCTTTCCAATGCAAGCATTTCCCAGGCTGCAACTCTAACAGGGAAAACCTATTCCAGTTGTTTTGAAAGTGGATAATCCTTGAGACACAAATCTGCTGTTTGACTTAGTCTTATCAGAATGCTGGCAGAGGAAGACAAATCAGCACCAGGACCCACATCAGAAACCTTCTACCTCCCAAGGAAGGGAAAGGAGGGTAGTAGCGGGAAAGGAGGGAGAGGGAGAACTAGCACCAGCTCAGCAGAAGATAATAATTACATAATTATATAATTACATGTAACGGTATAGCCCTTGCTCTGAGCCCAGGTACTGAGTTCTAAGTGTTGTACATATATCAATAGATTTAATTTTCCTTACAACCCCTGTGGGTGAGCACTATTTTACTTGCATTTTACAGATGAGGAAACCAAGAGAAGAAATGAGATAACTTCCCCCGATTTATACAGCTGGAAAGTCATGTGACCAGATCTGAACAGAAGCAGATGACTCTAGAACATTACTATTTTTCACTTCTTACTTTCTTGAATGTTTTTAGCTTTCAAAAAGTTTGCAAAACTAATACTTGTATAACTTGCGCCTAACTCCCCACATGTGAACGGTACACAACCGCAATATGGTGAGCTCATCTGAGAGGTTAGCACTAACACAGTGCTATTAGCTAGTCTAGAGGTGCTGTTCAGATTTGTCAGTGGTCCCTCAAGTGTCTGCTTCCTGGTCCAGAATCCAGATTCCACATCACTTACGGCAGTGTGTATTTTGGTGCCTTGCAGTCTGGGAAAACTCTTCAGTCCGTGAATTGTGACCGTGGCCCTCTGGGAGAACCCCTGTCAGGTATTCAGAAACTGGCCTTGTTTGAAGTCCGTCTGTTATTTTTTCGTGGTTAGCTGAGGTGATGCATGTAGGGCAGGACTGTCACACAGGTGTCCACCCGATTTCTCCATTGCAGTTACTGCTGTTACCTCTGCAAGTCAGAGGGGACGTTCTCTGAGACCTGTAAAACATCTGTTTCGCGTTGTCTTTGGCCTCCTCATTTTTACTTCTATTCCCGGTCCACTCCTACAACAAGTGCTATGATATGTGTCAAGTGGTTATGTTATACAGTTTACATTCTGGTCACTCCCCGGCAATTTAATAGTTAGCATTCTGCTGTAAGAAAGAGCTGCCCTTTCTCTCTCCTATCTTTATTTGCCCAACTCCTTATCTTGATATGGCTTGTAGATATTTATTTTATTCATAGGTTGTAGCCTGTGATTACCATTGTTTATTTGCTTGCTCATATACTCACAGACTCGGCCACTGGGCACTCGGTCAGGTTGGCTGCTGTGTCCTTTCCCACACAGATCTGCTCTCACCTGCAAGAGAAGCTGTGCTAAACAGAACTAAATAGAACTGCTGCTGCCTTTGTTGTCTGTGGGGTGAATGCAGAAGAATACAAAAGGCTTTGGTGTATTCAAAAATAAGGATGAGCTGGAATTATCAGCATCCAGCATAAACAAAACCTAAAGGCATCCAAAACCAAGTTTGTACCTTGAGTCCACCAGATGTGGACAATATCTGAACAGAGAATTTAAGGTAAAGACAGCAGGCAGCTCCCCCAGAGAGTTAGGGAGGAGCAAGCAGCAGAGAAACCTAAGGCCTCCCGGCAGGTGACTTGCTTTTCCTTGAGGACAGAGTTGTCCCCTCTGAAGAATTCAGAGGGTCCTGCCCTGAGCTGCCATCTCCCAAGCCCACAGAGTGTCTGAGGGACACAGAATCCAAGCCCATACACAGGAAACCCAAAGCTTGCTGAGCTCAAAGTATTTTATTAGTGATATCATGCAGAATTACAGTGACAGCACCATAGTAAGTGACACACCCTCTGCCCTGGGCTGGAGCTTCCATGACACCCTTGAGAGTCTTTCTCCTTTGGTTGCTGCTGAGACCTAAGATCAAGTCACAGCAGACTTGTGACCTTGGGCTTCTGCATTCTGTAAGGGTTTAAAAAAAGGTGAAAGGCTTAGAAACCTGTTTTCTTAAATTAAAAAAAAAAAAGTTGCAAAGTCATTTTATCAAATAGGATGCTTTTAGCAACAGCTACCACAAAAACTAAAACCAATTCAACCTGCCGGTTCCAAAATGTGGCCTCAGACCAGTGGCATCAATGTCACCAGGGAACTTGTAAGAAATTCATGAGCTGAGGCTTCTCTCCAGATCCACCTGATCAGAAACTCTGGGGTGAGACCTGGCTATATTACTCAGGGTCCCCCAGAGAAGCAGAAAAAATAAAATATACGAAAACTAAAATACTTTCACAGTGAATGCTCATATGCCCATCAAGGGCCTATCATTAACATGTTATTACAGTTGTTCAATTCCTTGGATCTTATTTTGGACTCATTTCAAAGTACATTTCAGGTATCAGTAGCCCTTAAACATTTAAACACACAAAGCCTTTGCTGGAGTTTGGAACATGTTTATGGTTTTAAATTTCAAAATGTATGTAAGAAATGCATACATTTTAAGCATCCAGTTCCTGAACTCTGAGCAATGAACAGACTTGAATATAACAAGTTGTGACACCAGGTGACCCTACGGCCCCCACTGTCCTTGAGAAGGGAGTGGGACCCAGAGCCCTCCCTCCCTCTGCAGGGCAAAGCTGCTTCCCTGGCAGGCCTGGAGAGAAGATCTTCAATTCCCCCAACCAAAGACCCAAGCACCAGAGGCCATGAGCAAGGACTTCCACACTGAGAAGACACCGCACCTTCTGGGCCTGCACACAGAGAATAAGTTTTTTTTTCTTTGTTAATTAGTTAATTTATTTTTTTATGGATCCCTAGAAATTGTATATCTTCCCGGGGCTCCAAGAAGAACTCGACAACTGCATTCATCTGCTACCACTGTTAAAAGCCAGGCCACCTCAAGAGGAACTGCCCTAAGAGGCCCCATGGGCCATGCCCTGGATGCAAAGGAGACCACTGGAGATCGGTCTGCCCTCTGAGGTGGAGGCCCCAGAGCTCAGACCCATGCTACCAGTTAGTCCAACAGGAATGAGAGGGCTTGGGGCATGGTCTGCCTTCTCCCTCTGGCCAGACCGTCATCTCCATCGAGGAATCCTGGGTAATCATGACTATAGAGGAACAAGAAAACAGCCTGTTGCTAGACACAGGTGCAAGTCTCTCGGTCCTTCTTTTCAATCCTGGCCTTCCTTCCAGCCGTCATGCCTCAGTGAAAGGAGTCACTGGTGAGGAGGTAATATGCTATTTTTGACAACCCTTAGGCTGTAACTACTTAATAGGTCCTTCTCGCATATCTCTGTCTTCCTGAGAAACCACTTTGAAGATACCACCACGTATTACAGCAGCCATTGATATTTTCCTACTAATCTATCCATAACTGTGTAAAGTTTGTAATGTTCCTATCCTATTTCATAAATGGATGTATGTTTATTATTATGTGTTTCCTACAACAACCATTGAGAATAGTTAATGATTTTTCAATAGGTCACTCATGTATAGCTCTATTTATTTTCTTTAGAAGCCACTTTGAAGATACCAAAGTATAGTACAACTCTTGATAATCTCCTACCTCTTTTATCTGTAACTCACTATTATTTGTCTATTTGTTTTCCTGAGAAACTATTTTGTAGATAATAATATGTAAAACGATAACCATTGATAATTTCCTACCATTTTGTCTGTAATTTGCTAAGTCCCCCCTATTATTATGTTATCCTTCTTTTATTCTTTAAAATAAAAAAAATAAAAATAAAAAAAAAGAAATTGTATATCTATGTGGGTAGAGTGGACTTTTTCATCTCATGATCAAATCAGGGCATTTACTATGTCGTTTCTTAACACCTCTGGGGTCAAACTGTTATCTAAACCACCTGGCTTCCAACAGGATCATCACCAAGTTTCCTGGCCCTGCTGATCACTATCTGATCTTTAACAATACTGAGCCCACAACTAGTGCCCCCCCAAATACTCAAGAGTTGGTTGTTCCCATCCGCCTAGTGCCACTTGCTGGTGCATGCATGGGGACACAGAGAAGGTCAGATGCAAGAACCCCCTCGAGGAACTTACAATTTAGGTAGGAAAAGATGTATGTGATTTCTGGGTACTCTCTCTTATGCAGTGAATGTCTATGTTCTCCCAAAATGTATATTTTGTACTTTTCATCACTATGATATTAGGAGATGAGGCCTTTGGGGGATAATTAGGGTTAGATTAGATCATGAGGGTTGAGCGCATGATGGAATTAGTGCCCTTATAAGAAGAAAGAGACATGAGAGTCCCCCTCCAAGTCTTAAGGACAGGCCACATGAGCACATAGCAGGACAGCGGCCACCTACAGGGCAGGAAGCGGCCCCCACTAGACACGGAGTCGGCCGGCACTTTGATCTCAGACTTTGAGTAAGAGAGAAGTGATTGTTAAGTTGTGATTTTTGTTATAGCAGCCCACACACACTAAGACACTCTGCACACTCACCAGCACTTGGCACTGCCAGATGGTTTTTGTTCATCTTAGCCATTCTAAGCTGTATGTAACCCACATATCTTTGCATTCTAAGATAGTGACAACAGTGATAGGAAACCTATTTAGAGCCAAAGGTGAGCACATTCTCTGTAATACTTGACGTGGTTTCCAGAAGTGGCATGTATTACAGCAGGTGAATTTGTTCTCTGAGTAGAACTCTATCTCTACTCTGTTGAAAGAATATGATAGAGCAGATTATGGGTCTCAGCTCATCAATGCTGAACTAGGATGGTTCATCCACCACCTTGTGATGGCTTCCTGTGAGTGGAGCAACTTCCCACCCTGCTGAAGTTGAGTGCTGCCACCTGCCCTGCTCTGGCTAGAGGGTGTTAGCTGGCCTCACGCAAGCACAGGCTTGGCATGCATTAGGCATTGACCACTGCTGCTGTGTTTCTGCCTCAGCCCTAGGATGATCGTGCCCTGGGTAGCTGCTGGAGCACGGAGGAGGAGACACATGTGCCACCAGCCTGGGACCAAGTCCCACTGCACCCAACCTGGATCATCCAGCAGCAACTGCCCTGCAGACCGATGGAAATCAATTCAGGCCTTGGGCGCGCCTGAGTGAGGTTTGGCACTCAGCATGACGCAGTCCTCACTGTTCACATCAAGTTCTGAAGACATAGAGACTGAGTTTCCAGATCAGGCCTGGTGGGTGAGACCTGTAGCCCTGAAATAGCCAGCTGTCATCTGTCCATACAGGAGCTGGACGGGCACAGTCAGGAGGACCCTACTGAGATGACCCCACCTGAGTGAGATCACACACTGCGATGCTTCTGTTTACACACTTGCTACTTAAAATGCAGTCTGTGAAATAGCTACAATGGCACCCTTAGGCCTGGTTAGAAATACCAAATCTCAGGTCCCATCTCGGACCTGCTAAGCTACTGTCTGCACCTTAACAATAGCCCAGTGATTCCGCAGCTCTTTACCACTTGGGATGTGAGGCCCAGCCCAGGAGGAGCGACATGTCCATGCACAGGTCACAGGCCGCCGCACTCTCACAAGTCAGAAGATAAAAACAATTCCATAATTTGTCTTCAGGCTAAAGTTTACAACCTACGCACATCTACAAATACAAACACAAACACACAAGCATTTTGGAAATAACATGCTACAAGCTAAAAAGACATTAAATGTAAACATTGCCAGGCAAAATTTTTCTCTTCTGCTTTTTTTCTCCATGTTTTTAATTAACACTTTATTCTTTTGAGCAGTTTTAGGTTTGCAGAAAAATTGAGCAGAAAGTTCCCAAATACTCTCTTTCCTTCTATTTAGACCCGCCTATTAACAGTTTACATTAATGGGGTCCACTCATTACAATGTCGGTGTTGACCCCTTATTAATCATAGTCTACACTTCACGAGGGTTCTCTGATTCCACGGCTTTACCAAATGCAGAATGTCACATAGCCACCAACACGATGTCATACAGAATAGTTTCATTGCCCTAAAAATCTTCTGTGCTCTAATTATTCATCCCTCCTCCCTACTAACCTCTGGCAACCACTGCTCTTTTTACTGTCAATAGTTTTGCCCTTTCCAAAATGTCATATGGCTGGAATCATGCAGTACGCAGCCTTTGCAGGGTGGCTTCTTTCCCTTGGCAGTATGCACTTGCTTCCTCCACATCTTTTCGCATCTTGATGGCTCTTTTTAATTA